GGGGGGGGGGGGGGGGGGGGGGGGGGGGGGGGGGGGGGGGGGGGGCGCGCCCAGAGAAGATCCGAGAAGAACTTCAGAGGCTGAGAAAGGGGAACCTCCGACACCCTCCCGCAGCCTCCCGCGTTCCTGGCGGTCCCCCCACCCACGCGCCCCCCAAATCACTAATAGATTTCCCTGCGTGGTGGAAGGAGGGCCGCTCTCCTCCTCCCTCTCCTCCTCCTGCCCCCCCTTCCCTCTCCTCCCCCTCGCCGTCTTCTTCCTCGTCTCCCCCAGAAAACGTTCCCATTCTTCTGAACCTTTTAAAGTGCTGTTGCTCCAATTACAGAGAGACGTTGAGCGGCAAATAGACTGATCCAATAATAGGAGATTCATCATCCCTTCTTTCCAGGCCTGTCACGATGAATTTAAAACTACAAGCCTTTTCATCTCCTCTCGGGCTTCTCTCTCTCTCTCTCTCTCTCTTCCCCCACCCCTCCTCTCTCTCTCAACGAAGAGGAAGAGGAAGGAGAAGGGGTGCGAACTGGAAAAACTACAAAAATGCGGGGCAGCTGGAGCAGAAAGAAGGGGTGCGCATAGCGAGGGGGTGCCTCTCTCTCTCTCTCTCTCTCTCTCTCTTTCTCTGTATATATATATTATATATAAAATAATATATCATATTATATATATATATATATATATAATATCAGCGCCATCGGATCGTATCAATCAAAATAATAATTAAAGGTTTCTCCCCCACGCATCTCTGGAGAAAATAAAATCACACACGTACTGAATTATGAATGGGCCAGAGGGTGCCTAATTAAGAAACAAACGGGCGGTTTGGCAAAAGAGCCTGCCTCGTATTTCTCTCTCTCTCTCTCTCTCTTTGTGTGTGTGTGTGTCTGTGTATGTGTGTGTGTGTGTGAGAGAGAGAGAGAAATATAGTTATAGAGATGCACACAGAAAGACCCGCGCGTATCCTAAGGTTCTGCTCCGCAGTCAAAGCCGCGCAAACCCTCTCTAAAGCGTCCCCATGACACACGCACATTTTACCCAGAGGATAATAATCTGACACCAGGCAGGTATGTCTGAACTCAACAAGGCCCAGCAGCCAAGCTAAATTCCCTGGGCCGAAAGAAAGATCCCGCAAGAAAGAAAGGGAAAAAAACCCTTTTCAGGTGTCTCGGAGGAAAAGGAAGCCGGCCGGATCCCAGGCCCTGCGGGAGGAAGGCTCGCCGGGGGAGGCCGAAGAAGACCGGGGCTAAGGCAGAGCCGGGGGGGGGCGGGCGGCGGGGGCTTCCTTGGGGAGAACCAGTCCTACGGAAACCTGACCCCTGTCCCACAAGTCAGAGGATGGCCAGTGTAGCCGGGTCAGTCTGGAGCCAGCCAGAGGCTCCTGCAAACGCTGAAGCGCCCTGGCGGCCCAGATCTGCCCGCGGGCCCCTTCCTGGTGAGGAAGCGCTACCTTACAAGCCCGAGGCTTGGGGGAGTGGGGAAAGTTTACGGGGAACCCCTTCCCCTGGGCGCTTTGGGTCCCTCTGCTTTGGGTACCGTTGGTGGCCGGCCTGAGAATCGAACCCATAGCCTATCCAGGGCGACTCCGAAGGCGCCGCTTCTGCTGGGGGGAGCTTCGGCCTCGACTCCAGGGAGGGCAGCTTCTTCGGGGTCCCCTACTCCCCAAGTCTTCCTGCGCCAACCAGGGCGAGTGGTCTCCGGTTGCTGATCCAGGTAACTCCGTGCGTAAAAAGTTTAGCCGTCCTTCTTCCCGGGGCGCCGGTTGCCCACAAGAGGAATGCCAGCGGATGAGGTCTCCCCCTTTCACACACACACACACACACACACACACACACACACACACACACACACACACACAGACACACACACACACACACCCCAAGCCCTGCAAGCCGAAGGGTCCTGCCCTTCGAGACGGACGTCTGGCCAGAAGCTCTGCGAAGCTGTTCTGGAGAGAACAAGGGAAAGGCGGCTGGCCTTTTCCTTTCCTCGCCCCCGAGGCCAGCAGGACTTACTCGCCAGTCGGCCGCGTGCAAAAGAGCCGCTTCTCACCCACCCCCCCACCCACCCACCCCCGGAGTAAAAAGCAACTCTCCCCGCACCTCAATTCCCCCACAAACAGAGGAAACGAGGCTCCCTTCTCCCTCCCCAATAAACTGCGCGCGCGGCGCAGTTTGGGCTCGCCAACCTCAGCCGTCCAGAGTTTAGTTGTTGCCTCCTCCTATCTTCTGTGGGGTCTTTCTCGAGGTGAAGCCCGCCGGATGCGCCTCACCCTCTCCGGCTAAGTTTAGGATCTGCCGTCCTTCTTTCAAAAGCGGCCGCGTCCAAAATCTGGTGCTTTTCCTTAGCCAAAAAAGCTAGAAATGGAGAGGTGCAAATTGTGCCTAAAACGCGCGTCTCTTCTCCAGGGATAATCCCAAACCCTCTAACCTGTCTGGGCCTTTTTCAGGTTAATAATAACAAGACTATATCTGCTTTCTAAGGGAGGCTTTCTTTTAAAATAGCAAGAAGAGGAAAATCTGAAGACAAGGCACCCGTCCCTTTTTATTTATTTTTCAAAACTTCCTGTCTCTTTTCAAACTTCAGATCCCGATGGCATTTGCGAAATTTTCAAAGACAACCCGAACCACCACTAGGGAAACGTATTTTTACGGGACTCTTTGCCCCAAATGTCATGAATCCAGGTGGATAGCGCACTCAGGGTCAAAAGAGAGGTATTGGAGCGGTTGCGCGGATCAGATTTCAATTCGGATTAAGGAGCTAAACGAACGAAAAGCCTAATCCGAATTGTCCTTGGATTCCCTGTGCCACTGAATATTCCACGAGGAGCTGGAGGTTTTCTCTCTTCCTTTTCGGCCCTAATTGAAAGCTTAATAAATAAAATAAAATAATAAAATAAAGTAAAATAAAATAAAATAAAATAAAAATAAAATAATAAAATAAAAATAAAATAAAATAAAATAAAATAAAATAAAATAAAATAAAATAA